CCCTGACAGTATCTGATAGTGTTTTTTCTTTTAGATACTTCTTCTTATCAGTTGCACCAAAAACACGATTCAGGACTTTCTGTGCAGGCTTCACAGCAACATCAAGGATCACTTGATGCTGCTGGAAAGTAGATGAGTGGAAAGAACAGCTTTCAGTTCTTCCCACTCATTGAGATCAGCTGCAATCTTGTCATGGTCTCAGGGATTGTGAATTTTTTTTTTTCTTTGCTTCCCTCGGTCTTTTCTATGTCTGTGCCTTTGCCTTTCTCTTTACGCAGTTACTTTTCTGTCTGTCTCTTTTACTTCCTGTCTCTGTCTTCCCTCTGGTTAACTGTTCTCACGTGCTGTTATTTCTTTCCTTGCACTGGTATCTGTCTTGTTCTCTAATTAGTGCACTTTGTAAACACAGTAACTGTCCACTTTGTTTGTTACACCTTGGTAGTACCAATTTTGATCTCTTTTTGCTTTCTTAATTCTTCATTGCATAGATTCAACAGGCTGTTGTATGTATTCCTCCAAGATTTTGGTCCATATTGACATGATACTCTCACAGATTTGCAGATTTATTAGCTGCACATCTGTGATGAAAATATCTCATTCCACCACATCTCAAAGGTGCTACATTGGATTGAGATCTAGTGATTATGGAGGCCATTTGTGTATGTTGAATTCTTTGTAATGTTCTAGAAACCAGCTGCGTGACATGGTGTGTTATCCTGCTATGAGCAGCTATCAGCTGAAAGATGCTCAGTTGTTACCTGGGGACCTAAAGTGTCAAGAAAACACACTGCTGCTCCACCAACACCAGCCTGAAGTGTTGATACAAGGTGGAATGGATCTATACTTCCATGTTGTTTATCTTAAAAATGACCCTACCATCCAGGTGTTGCAGCAAAAATCGAGATTCATCAGACTATGCAATATTTGTCTAGTCTTCTGCTGTCCAGTTTTGAATTGTAGCCTCTGTTCTTCCCAAGAGGAGAGGCACCCAACAGGAAACAGACTGTGGTCCTCCAGTGTAATTGCAAAAGAGGACCACATTGTGCTAAAACTGTGCTTCAACGTTCTTCAACGTTTGACATGTTGTGCATTCAGAGATGCTTTTCTGCATATCTTTGTTCAAATTAATGGTTATTTAAGTTACTGTTGCAGTCCTGTTAGCTTGACCCAGTCTGGTCACTTCCCTTTGACATCTGGCATCAACAGGGTGTTTGCACCCTTTTTGTTTCTCGTACCTCAGATGGATTCTCATCTTTTGTTATGTCGTCTGCCGGTGTCTTATATTTGGGTCCTTTCTCTTAGTACAATGATATATTTACAATCAGATGTCTTAGGTTGGAGCCATTACTTCCAGTAACAGTACTTTGTAAAGATATATGCACTGATCATCTTCTCTTATTCTGAATGGCCATAAAATCTAAACCAACTAAACAGCCCCCAACAAAGCTGTTAGAGGACAAAGGGAAATCGGGGCTGCAAGGAAGATGGAATTAGAGAAATCAAAAATTAAACAGTACAAATTTGTAAAATTGACTTTTTATTAATAAAAATGAGTCTAAAAGGCCATAATGTCACCTTTTCCTAACAGAACTGAATGTTACCATTGATTAAAGGTGACACAGTATCTTTCCATTTATTTGTTGATAAGGCTCGTTAAAGAGATTAAGAGGTTACTGTATCGGTTTGCACTGCGTCCTGATGGATTTATTAGTAGTTGTCCTGACCTGTGACTCAGGAGCTACCTGCCAATCAGGGTATTGACTCGCTTTGTGTTTTCACCAGCTGAAGGTGTCCACGCTGACATCAGCCTCTGTGGAATATTTCTATCCTAGGCTGAGTGCCAAAGATGTGCTCAGCCTCAACACAGTCTGTCTCACTAAAAGAGATGAACGGGGAGGGAGAGTGGCAACATCCCGGCCATTCCTCAAAGTCTAAACTGTGTTAGCAGGTGGCACAGCAGGCGGCGAATTTATGAAATACTGTGAAAACTTGCTTTTCCCATTTTTATCTATAAACTGGCCACATAGTCCTTCAAAACAATAGCCTTTACTTTCCCTAATGTAGAATGTGTTTGAGGAGTTTTGTTTCATTTGCAGTTTTACAACACAGGCAGCTTTCTTTTGTCCTTCCAGAGACACCACAGCTGCTACTTAAAGATTTCTGCTCTCTGTTCTGGTGTTTCTTCTTTTCCTTGTTTTTAAGATTTCAATTTTCACTTGAAACAGAAGGATTAAATAGTTTTAATTGGTTTATACTCAAAGGATTTAGGATTATAATATAGAGTTACGTCATCTTGCCTGAAAGTCAATGTTATTGGTGGTGAAAACAGAGCTTTCTGAGACTGGTGCTTATTGAAAAATATCTTCAAGCACACAGAAACAAAAAGACAGGTTTACCCTGACATATCTGGAGCCTACTTGCTATGAAGAACAATTTTGAGTCGTGATTAAGGTTCAGAATGTGGAACGAAGGCCTTTGGTTCTTCTTTGATAAGATTTTCTCTTGAGGTAGGTGATGCCAGTGCACATCATTTGAGGTTGGAGTCTTAAGATAAGATAAGAGTTGTTGGGCTGTCAGTTTAAGAGCTTTGATAAGCCAGTTATGTTATGTGTGCTACCAAAAGTGACATTGTCGCTCACAGTGTCTAACTTTGCATTTTATAATCTGAGTTTATTCACTTTCTGGCTGAAAGTATGGGAGACTAGAGCACACCAAACTAATGCCTTAGTCATCTAGGCAGTGACCCCCTGGCAACCTCTGGGGGGCGAGGAAAAAAATGTGCATTCCCATTTCCAACCATTTTTCAAGTGGTTGCTGACCTTGGCGCAGTTGCTTTAGACAGTTTCGCTTAGGCTTGGTTGTCAATAGTTTGCATGGTACACACTGATTTGTCTGCAAACACTCACAAGCTACCCACTGTTTCCAGTTTCTGGTTTGGATTGCACTTTTCAGATTCACTCCAGCCCGTTAGCCTTCAAAGTAAAAGCTTTGCCTTATTGTGGTAACTAACCCCTTTCAAAAGGTGTAAACTATATAAAGCAAACTTGCAAAAGGAATCAAACCATTCCAAGAGACTTCCTCAAAACTTTCTCAAAAGATGGAAAAATAAAAGGAACATAAGGAAACAATAAAAAGATGCAAAACAAGAACATGTTACAAAAGAAAATCATGAATCACTGACTATAAAGATGCAATCCAGCCCTGAAGAGATGCAGAACAACCACAAAGATGCAAAACAAAAATAATGAGATACAAAAAGACCTCACAAAAAAAGACTAAGAGATCATAATTAGAAACAAAATGGCCAGTGGAAGAGCAGGGGGTCCTTTACATATCAGTACTCATGGTTCGCTCATATCAGTAGATAGGATTTTGCAGTACTTTTTTTTTTTTTTTTTTTGCAGTACCTTAAAACACTGGAATTAAAGGTGATATTTACCACCGTCCTCTCAGCACTTTACAGCTGGATTCAGAGCACAGTTTCCTGTTGTTATTTCCCTCCATCCCACTCGACACATGCTGAATTTTACTGAGGGGAGAGCGAGAGAGGAAAGTGAGCCGAACTGGAAATCGCATTACACGTTTCCGCAAGGACTTGGAGGGAAAACAACCTGTTGTTGTTGCCAATGCCAGACAGAAAAACCCTCGAGCAAGTGTCAAAGTGGCACACGCTTCTTTTTCATCCTGTGTCAGAAAATATTCCAACTTGTTCACACGTGTAACCCCAACCTGACAGCTTTTTCAGAAGTAAGATTGGCAGGAAGTTATTTTTTTTTATTTTTATGAAACGTGTATAAATGTTGTGTTGAAAGTAAAAGCATGAAAAGACAAAAACTGGGATGTTTTCCACATTTTCCCAAACCATCAGATATACTTTAATGCCTGTTTACAATATGGATTACTGAGCTGTCATTGGTAAAGGACGCAGTTCATTTCTGACATCTGTCTTTGGACCAATTGCTTGGCAACAGCACATACTCCATCATCCTACGACTTCGTCATCTCAGGCCACTCAATCCTCCTCGAGGCTTTTCATGTAATTCACAACGATGTTCCTGTGTTTCATTGGCATGTTGAACCTTGATTTCATTGAATGGAAACTGGCTATTATGCATTTGCTTTAATGGCGGTTTGACACGATCGCAGCTAATGGGACGGGCGTTACTCTGAAAAGGAGAATAATCCACCATTTAAATACAGCTTACTATAGAGAGGAAATTAATGCATGAAGGTTGAACTTGCTGTTGGATAACACAGGATCTGTGGAGTGCCTCTTAGTAAAGAGTCGGGGACATTACACAGCAGATAATGGCATGTCTGAGTGCTAATAATGAATGTAAAGATGAGTTTCACATTTTCTTATCCGACACCTGTGATCTAATATATTTTTCTTATTTTACTGGAAAGATGAGATTTGTGTTTGAAGTTGAGTTTGAAACATGATTTTGTTTTTATTTTAATAATAATTAATGCTAAGCTGTACCCATCCATGATTAAACTTGTTTTAACATTGTGGATTGCTCCCTTTTTCAAAAAAAAGTTTAAATGTCTCTAGATCTTGATCAAGAGTGATTGGATAGCAAATCCATATTTAAACACTCAGCAGTGGTGTTGAGCTTTAGTTAGAGACCAAAACAATAAAGTTTGTGTTTAGTGTGGCTGGGTTCAGCCCAGATTGAGGAGTTTGTGGTCTAGATTTGGTGATCTGGACATCTGAGCATGTCGGGGGGGAGGGGACACCAGGGTTGGAACCAGTGATGTTATTAAGCCATAAATGGACATAAGTTATTTTTGGCAGCTCTTCAGCGATCAGAGGCCGATCCCCTCAAACTGTAGGTGTGCCTGACCTGAGATTCTTTAGCAAAATATGAAAGAAGTGGATCATCAGTTCACTCCTCTTTTGAGGCTTTAACCCCTCAACTTCCTCAGGCCTCCATAGAGGCAGCTCTTCAATTGGGGCCAGTACTGACAGTTTGTCTTTTGTCCTTTTCTCCTAACAGCGATCCTTTTGGCCCTGATTCATTTGTGATTTGGGCACCACGACTGATCGGAATAAGTTGGAATCCGCTTCTGTCTGGGTGAGTTTGTACTGCCCGTCGAGAGACCCTAAAGACACTAGTTAGACTCTGGTTTGCCTTTATTTTTATTTGCTCTTTACTATATTTAGTCTTTTGTTTATCTTTCATTCTCTTGTAGAATAAAAGACAGAAGGAACAACATGACAATCCTGCCCCTTTTAGAAATGATAGCTGATGTGTATGAGAGTGAATTTGACATTTCAGCCATTGCAAATACAGACTATATTTGACCTGACCATAAAACTTGCTGTCCTACAGAAATTGTGTAGTATTTAGAAGGAAGTGCTGCATTTAATGAGAACAAGCATTAAAGTCAAACTATAGTTCATGAATTGAAGGTTATGGAGGGCATAACAACGCCGTACTTACCGGCTTTAAGAAGCTTGTACCTGTAAGCACTAATTGGTGAACTATGGTTACCTGTAGTTTGTCATGTTTGTCTGTAAAATCTCATTAACCACCAGCTGAGTGGTCGTAAAATTTGGAAAACAAAAAAACAAAAGAGTGCAACACAAACTGGAAATGATGGTTCATCTCCAAAGTAAAACTTGATCCCTCTAAAACATGTTGGCACGCCTTTTGCTTTCATGGTGAACTTTCTTCATATGCGGTTTGCGTCGCACTTTTTCCCTACAGCTCAGAGAAGAGCAGGACAGTATTTGTAGACAACGTCACTTCCATTCAAGCTACAACTACATTTGCAACAATATGCTAGCAACCAGGAGGCTTTTGAAAACCAGTTTGGGAATATAAATGTTTCTCTTGTGAGTTTTGGTTGCCACAGGATCACGGACTGGTCTGGTGTGGTTCAGTTTTAGCAAACACTCAGAACCAGTCAGGTAATACTAATTTTTCCCCTCACAACCGGTGGCTAACTGCTGGTTGAGGACTAATCTCTGGGCCTTTATTCTCTTCTCACATGACCAAAGGTAATTTCATTTGGTTAGTGGTCACATGTCTGCAAAATACTTTTACCACTATTTTTTCTTTTTTTTGCCACATATTTCTCCCATAGATTTCAATTTAGTGTCTTTCTCTAATCAGAATCATAAGAAACCTGTCTAAACTCTGCTGGTGTCATTATTCTACCAAATGAAAATTTTCATTTCCTTCATAGTGATAAGGTAAACCTTGTTTATTGCAGCAATTACTGCTGAGTAAAACAAAAAGAAAATATTTGTTTACGTTCTGTGAAATAATTAAGTTGTCACAAAGCATTAAATTACACTGAAATACGCAGAATTAATCCTCAGGCCTTCTTCTGGTTTTCTTGTGCGTGTGGGAGTAGACGACGTTTGTTTGGGTTCGCCCATAATTAACGTGTCAAAGCGCCAGCGACGATATAGAGGTGTTAATGGTGACAAGGTGACATGTAAAGGTTTGAGGGCAGCTCTAAAAATATGCCGCTGTCACCTCATCAGTTCTCCCACCGTCGGTCGTTTCCCCGACGCCCTCGGAGCGAGTCTTTGACAAAACATCCACGATATGACAACCCGTGTCTCCTAACAACGTGCCACGGTTTCCAAACGCGCTTCAAACTGACTGACAGACTCTTGAAAGCGTTAGCTGGCAGCGCTGCCGTCGATGGATGTGCGAGCCAAGGTGCAGGTTGAAGAGGAGGCGATACGTGTGATGACTCTCTAATCGACTGGTTCTTTTTTTCTTCTTCTTTTTTTTTCCCTGAATGTTTTCCTGCCGAGCTTCTAAAAGACACTCAAGCTTGGAGTTTTTAGAGCTTGTGCTGTGAAAATGCTGCAAATGGACGCACACACACACATGAACACCTACACCAACACGCACACAAATTCCTGCTGTGCTGCTTCCTGATGTGCGAATGAGCTCATACTGAGGGATCGGGGTCGAGGTGCATTATCTCAGGTACCAGAGAGTCTTATTTACCACTTCCTGTCAGGCTTAAAACCCACAAATCAGGGCACAAACACACAGAGACAGAGAAAAGCTCTTCTTCATACACCTGTGATTATGGTTTCTGTTTTTTTTTTTATTTTTTGGTTCTCTCAAATGTCTTCTCACAGCCTCACGGCCTGTCCTTAAATGCCATCACCTCGCCTGTGAACTCTGTTATTTAATAAGTGAATTGAAGTGTTTCATTCTGCAGCGAGATGTGCTCCATTTGAAGACCTGATGGTACAAAATGATTTCTGCCATGAGAGGAAAAAAGCACATTATGAGCTATGAGTCATCTGGAGACTGCATTAACCTCTGAAAGTTTTTCTTTGTTTTTGAAATATTATTCAAACTTTTTTTTTTCTTCCAGGAAACAACATAAAATAATAACAGTGCCATTGTCCCACAGTTGATAATTTGTGTGATCCTCATTTACATAATTTCTGTAAGCAGATTAGCTTAATTAAAACTGTCAGTGCTGTTTTGAAGTTTAGCCAGAGCTGCTGCGCTTGCCTTTATCTCCAAGCTCCTGGATCTTTATTTGAATCTGCAGATGTAGATCGAGCCTCCGGCTGCTGTAGTCGCAGCGATGACCTTTTTCTGCTTTAAAAATTGCATGTTTTCTCAGGATAGAGATGCCTCTCATCAAAGAGCAGAGAGGAACATTGATTAGTTTTCCAGAGGGAGTTTTTTGGACTTACTGTGACCTCTGTGAAAGTTGAAGGGATGCATCATGCTGTAGTCATAGGCAGTTTAAAGGATGGATGAAGCTTCATGGGCTGAAACGTGAAGCCAATCCTGAAAGCGACTTAAGCTGGGCTTCTTTTTAATGGCCAGCAGCAGTTGTGTCCTCTGCTCAATCGATCTTTTATTTCATTAAAAAGATTTTTGAGGCTTTTACAAGGTCAGTGTGCAAGTTTATAGTCTCATACATTAAAACGTGATGTACATATTGTGTTGTTGTTGTAGTCAGAAAAGTTAATAAACCAGGGAAAGCATCCAGTTTCATGTTGTTGACTGCAAAGATTGTCAACTCAAGTCTTCATAACCAGTCTGTGGCTTCAGTAGAAGTGTGCTTTCTGGTCTTATATTTATTGGAGAAAGCGATACATTTAAAAAAGTTTTAAGTTTATAAGGTTGAATTATCCATCTGTAATATAATGGACTCTGTAAGTCACTGTAAATCATCCTGGGATGAATTGTTGTTATGCTTTATAATTAAACTACAGTTGAAACTGAAATGCAGCTGACAAATTCTAACTGGCTTTTATAGCTGATTTTAAGTTCAGACTTTGTTTTTGTACCTGGAGAGAGGTACTGGATGAAGTCAGTTCTCACCAGGTAACCTCCCAGCATTGCGGGAGTTGATGTGACGGACAGTGCTGCACAGGCAGACCTGTGCTGGTGGAGGGAATCCATCCAGCAGTTCTGCCAGCTCTGACTCTCTCTGGCTTCTCAAGCTGGAAATTGCCATAATGTATCCTGCAGTGGTCGGCTGCACAGGCCTCTTTCAGACGCTCCGTCTGCTCTGCTGACACACATATACACAGTGCAACACTATCACATTATGTGTGATGCACAAAAAGAAACGCGCAGATACAACAGTGTCAGCTAATGTGTGCACTTAATATATGCTTAAATACGCAGAGAAAAACGGTACGATTACTAATGTGGACTCAGGTTTGGTTAAGCTGCTGTTGTAAAGAAGCATTAGGGAAGCAGTAGTTTGCACTTTGATCACAGCGAGAAGCTTAGAAATAAACTCAGCTTGGAGTCGTTCTTCCCAATTCTGGGGCAGAAATTCTTCTGTCTTCAGTAACTCGTTATCTTTGGCTCACCTTACCCTTTCTGAGTCAAGCACACAGCCTCTCTACTTTCTTTTACTGTATCTGTCTTTACTGTTGAAAGCAGCACAGTAACCCAGCAGCTAGCTGGCATTACCCATCATGCCTTGTGACAGTGTGTGTGTCATTGTGTTTGGTCTGTTCAATAGGCTTAGCTGCAGATTTGTAATTCTTCTTTTGCATGAATGTTTATGATTTATATCATTTAGTGTAACAAGAACAAAAAATGTTCTTTTCGGTGCTACTAGTGACCAATAATAAAATGTGCCCGTGACATTTTAAAAGCCACAGTTTATATCTTTTCTGTTCACCAGTACTCCAAAACCTAAAATCCCACAAGTACTGATTCCAATTTTCAAGAGTAAGGTTGATGCAGAGCTGTAGCTACTACAGAGCAATAAAGCTGATGAGCCATGCCATGAAGCTATGGGAAAGAGTTGTTGAAGCCAAGTTAAGGGGAGAGGTGATGATCAGCGAGCAGCACTACTGATGCAATGTTTCCTTTGAGGGTGTTGATGGAGAAGTGTAGAGAGGTCAGAAGGAGTTTCATGGTGTTATTGTGGCTTTAGAGAAAGCATATGATAAACTACCAAGAGAGGAACTGTGGTACACCATAACGAAGCCAGGAGAGGCAGAGAGGTAAGCGAGGGTGGTGCAGGACGTGCATGAGGACAGCGAGACAGTTGTGATGTTTATGATAGGAGTGACAGATGGGCTCAAGGTGGGGGTGGGATTACATCACAGATCTGAGCACTTTTTTGTTTGCAGTGGTGGTGGACAGACTGCTAGATGAGGCTGGCTGGGAGTGTCCGTGGACTATGATGTTTACAGATAATATTGATCTGTAGTAAGGGTGGGGAGCAGGTGGAAGAGAGCCTGGAGAGGTGGAGGTATGTTGTAGAAAGAAAAGGATTGAGTGTCAGTAGAAGCTTGAAAGAATACATGTGTATGAATGAGAGGGAGACGGATATAAGAAGCAAATACCGTAGAGTAAAGTGGATAAAATTTGCATACAAGAAACAGTGGAGAAGAGAGGCAAAGAACAGAGTGCCAGCAGGGTGGAGTGGGTGGAGATGAAAGAATGAGAGAATGAAAGGGAACATTTACAAGATAATACCAGGACTTACTTGCAGGACTTATCTAAGATTCGGAGACTGTAGCATGGACAAGACAGGAGGCCAAACTGAAGATGATAAGATTTTTATTGTGATTTCCATTGAGTGGAATGGACAGGATAAACAAGAAGCA